TGCGCTGCTGACTCTCAGTCAATATACAGTGAGAGATTATATATACAATGTTTCATATACGAGAGATACCCTGCATTCTAAAAATAAAAATGACAGGTAGGATGAGTTTGCCTGTAAAATTGCTTTGACTAGGTTAGTGGCTGAAGGGTAGGAATGGTAAACACAATTAGCTATAAGATAAAGTTGTAATATATGGCATGACGTTACTACGTTAATGATGCAAGTAACTACTATGTCCAGCGAGGTCTGGCGAAGACCTGTTGTACCTACGAAATCCAATTTTTTTTTTTTTTACGCTACCGCTTATTGGAAGAGCCTCGGGTACATAATAAACTAGCTGCTTAGATGGCACACAGTAAAAGTCTAGCTTGCCCTTACCAAGACCAAAAACTTCAGGTTATCAGTACAGGGAAACCGGTTCATTTTTTACCTGAACAATAGGAAACAACATCGTAAAATTACCTGATGTATGACCCTTGTGGGATTAGAGCTTAGTTTTTACTGTAATAATAATTCGTAAAACTACCAAATCGAACACGCTGCTAGCAGAGTCCTGTAAAGATATATCTTGGATTCCCTGCTATGCTTGCTCTATACAGCCTACATGAGTGGCTCATGTAGGCTGTAGGGTGTTAAATGTAAACACTTACTGTACACAGTGCTCTAGCTCTCTATAGTAAAAGAATATAGATGTATGTTATCATCTGAACTGAAGAGTCGTGTAGACAATGGTTGATAAACGGTAAACTGTCTATATATAGGAAAAGCTGATAAATATAATGAGAAGCGTCCCTGGGAAAGAACGAAGGGGAACATAGTCACAAATGTTCAGTGAAGGGGCAGAACAAGACGTCGCTTATGTCCTAGATTCACTATTCAAAAGGGGTGATGCTGGTGAGGGGGGTCTTGATCAAAGGAATTGGATTTGTTCTCCCCTTCCTTGTATTGAAACCTCATTGCCTCCCATTCCTCCTAGGCGTTGTATGACCCCTACGGGTTTAACATTTTCCCAAAATATCGTGTCCAACATTCTGTTGCTGTTTACGCTCTTTCAAAGAAGTGGCGGGTATCAGGATTCGGTATTGTGTTGCTTACGCTCTTGACCACCGATTTTCATGTCCAGATTCAGTATGTCATTATGTCGAGAGCCCAATCGGATATCCGGATTCTGTATGTCGTTGTTTATGTTCTTCAGCACCAAATCAGATATCCGGATTCAGTATTTTTACGCTTTTCAGAGACAGGTCAGATAGCTGGATTTTATAAGTTGCTTACGTTCTTGAGCGCCAAATAGGGTATCTGAATTCAGTATTTTGTTTACTTTCCTGAAAACGAATTCTGATATCCAGATTCTGTATGTTGTCATTCTTGTTGAGGATTTATAGACTGGGTTAACACTGCTGGCGCCTTGGCCCCCAGTGGCCGAGGAGAAAATATTGCCCAAATCTGATCAGTAATTGTAAGGGAAGAGTGATTCCTTCCTAAAATAGAAGCATCCAGGTGATTAGGGCACCAAATTCGGTGAAAAATAGTTAAAAAAATAAAATAAGAACCAAAAAAATAACAAAGATGTCATTACAGTACTTCTATCTCCGTATGCATACGAAGGCATTATAAATTATAATCCAGTTCTCGGCAGTTCTCAGAATTTATTAATATCTCAAGTCTTTTACTTACTTGAAAAAAAATTTACGTTTTTTTTTTTCAATTTGTAGCGGAAGGTCAAGATGATTTACTACATAGTTTTGATAAGCAATAAATCAGGTACCAAAACCTCAGAGTAAATCTGCCCCGGAGAGACAGTTGCTGGGAGCTGGACTAGGACCCCCTTCCCTGATGCCACCCAAACTGAATGCTCAGCGGGCAGAGTATAATGAAGACAAACGCCTCATGGAAAATGTCTAGCGGGCAGAGTATAATGAAGACAAGCATCCCAGAATGTGTCTAGCGGGTAGAGTATAATGCAGACTAGCGTCCCAGGATGATGTGTCTAGCAAGCAGAGTATAATAAAGACTAGCGTCCCAGAACGATGTGTCTAGCAGGTAGAGTGTAATGCAGACTAGCGTCCCAGAATGTGTCTAATGGGCAGAGTATAATGAAGACTAGCGTCCTTGGAAGAATGATGTGTCTAGCAGGCAGAGTACAATGAAGACTATCGTCCCGGGGAGAGAATGATGGGAAATTATTCACCGATGCTCTATGGTACATGCAGAAATCCCAGATTTAGTATTTTGTTATTTGTGTTCTTGAATAGGATATCCGGATTTCATATGTAATAGTTTATGCTCAGCAGTGCCGTCAGATACCAGGAATCAGTAGGTTGTTATGTTCTTGACTTCATTCTGACATTCGGATTCAGAACGTTATTCAAGTTCTCGAGCGCAGTTGAATATCTGAGTTCTGTTCGTCGTTGTTTACAATTATGATAATCAAGGTAGACAGCGTGTAGTACACAGTATATAGAGAATATATAGTGTACTAGTGTCCTCTATTTAGAAAGCTTAAATATGGCAACCCTTAAAAAAATTATTCTGGGTGATGAGTATGTAATGCGTACTAAATACAGGCTTGCCATAACCTTGTAAAATGTCATACAGCTCAGGTTGCCACATAATGTGATTTAATTTATTTTTTCATAAAAATATGAATCCATAGAAGTCTGCCAGCTTAAGTAAACAGATTTCATTACTTCATCTATGAAGCCTATCATATGTTTAGTTTCCATATCATCAGTTCGAAGTTTGTCAACAATAGCTGGCTGCTGTTCCAACTAGTTTGTGAATGACCAACTTGCGTGATGGGGATGACTGATAATGAAAAAAAAAATAGAGTAGGTTGTCTCATCATGTCAAGGTCAGTAACAGCATAATCAATTCAAGATATGAATACAAATGCCAGGACTGGCTAGTTGCAATTTTGTTATGTATGTTCAGGGGTAGGTTGTCATCCGTTAGTTATAAGGATGTTGTTTTCTTATGAATGCTTTCATGTATTGTGATTACGTCAATGTGTGATATACATGTATACTGTATATTTTAAATAAAATAAAAAAAATCAATTCAAGAGTAATGATAAAGAGTACGTAAACATAATGCTACACTAAAAGTCAACGTGTAGCGAGACTGGACATTCTAGAAGTGATCTATACATCTTCACTGATGTCAGTTTCTTGTAAATTTAGCTCTTATTATGTTTTGTATAATTAAAATATTTGATATACTTGTTTAAACATTTGTCATTATACTGTTTATTTCGTCGCCATTATTCTGAACTTTACTTAATGGTACTAGAGTGGTAGACAGCCACCATCTAGGGAGGTACTACAATCCACTCGTACGAGAATGAAACGGAAGCCTGATAAATATTTTGTACTATGAAATTTGCGAGTCCAGTCTTCGTATTCGTCAAGTTACAAGACTGGTCGCTCAGATATGGTAAGTTTGTTGGTACTCATGAACACATATGGTGACTAAGTAAATCATGCAAATCCTTTACTTACAATAAGTCACTCTGTCTGACTTTTTTGGGTTATCCTAGGTTCTCTACACATATGCTGCGCTATGTATGATAATCTGTATAACTATTTGTGTATACCTGAATAAACTTACTTGTGCGTTTTCTAAAAGTTTTTATTCACGTAGTACTGTATTCCCTATCCGGTTTATGATACCTGGTTTGAGATCGGGCCGCAGGGGCAGTTATCCCCGGAACTGTTAATAAATATAACACTCAAATGCAGTTAATGAACAAAGCTGCGACAGGTGACATTAAAATACAAACACCGGGTACATTCCACCACGGCTGACCAAGATGCTGTTAAAATAATGTTACAAGTAGCAAAGGTGTGCAACATGAGCTGGGCCATTCCTACAACAATAAAACTCAGCCGGTGTTAAAAAGAGCTTTTAGTAAAGAAAACGAGTCATAACAGCCGACACACATTGAGATGTATAAGTGAAGTAATTCACTTAAACTTTCCACAACTATCTTCATATATTTACACGAGGCGTATGCAGTGAGCTTACCTCTGGTGGCAAAATTCTTCAGTATGTAGTACTAGAAGTTCTATTTAACGCTATGCATACAAGGTGTTTCTATGATGATATTACCCAATACAACTCTATCTTTACAAACTCAATTTCTTTATTTTATTTATCAAAACTGGATGCATTAGCATTGTTCTGCTATCCTATTTTATATGATAGTTACACAGTTGGAACACACGGGATGAGCCACAGTGTTGAAACATGTCAGTCAGAGCTTGGCAGCTTCAGTAGGGCAATGAAAATATCGGCAAGAATTCCATTAAAGATTCATCAGTTACAGGGGCTTTAAAGGCTTCGTTTCAGCATTGATGGACTGATTTTTACTTAGAAATTGGCATCTCCCATGACGGACTATCCCATACACAGGAGAAACGAAGCGTTTACAAAAATGTCTCCATCAAACTGCATGTAACAGAAGTGGAAGCGAAGGGTATTTTGTCAAAACTTGACGAT